AAGTGTTTACCAGAATATAGAAGGTAGTGTTTACCAGAATATAGAAGTTAATCTTTACCATAATAAAGAAGATTATCGCATTTTTTACCAGAATATAGAAGTATAACACAGTTTTTACCAAGAAGTTAATTGTAGTGTTTCCCAGAATATAGAAGGAAGTCTTAACCAGAATATAGAAGGTAGTGTTTACCAGAATATAGAAGTTAATATTTACCAGAATTAAGAAGATTATAGCAGTTTTTACCAGAATATAGAAGATTATCGTAGTTTTTACCAGAATATAGAAGCTTATCGCAGTTTTTACCAGAATATAGAGGTTATCGTAGTTTTTACCATAGAAGCTTATCGCAGTTTTTAACAGAATATAGAAGCTTATCGCAGTTTTTACCAGAATATAGAAGTATAACACAGTTTTTACCAAGAAGTTAATAGTAGTGTTTCCCAGAATATAGAAGGAAGTGTTTACCAGAATATAGAAGGTAGTGTTTACCAGAATATAGAAGTTAATCTTTACCAGAATAAAGAAGATTATCGCAGTTTTTACCAGAATATAGAAGGTTATCGTAGTTTTTACCAGAATATAGAAGGTTATCGTAGTTTTTACCATAATATAGAAGCTTATCGCAGTTTTTACCAGAATATAGAAGTATAACACAGTTTTTACCAAGAAGTTAATAGTAGTGTTTCCCAGAATATAGAAGGAAGTGTTTACCAGAATATAGAAGGTAGTGTTTACCAGAATATAGAAGTTAATCTTTACCAGAATAAAGAAGATTATCGCAGTTTTTACCAGAATATAGAAGGTTATCGTAGTTTTTACCGGAATATAGAAGGTTATCGTAGTTTTTACCATAATATAGAAGCTTATCGCAGTTTTTACCAGAATATAGAAGCTTATCGCAGTTTTTACCAGAATATAGAAGTATAACACAGTTTAGTTAATTGTAGTGTTTCCCAGAATATAGAAGGAAGTGTTTACCAGAATATAGAAGGTAGTGTTTACCAGAATATAGAAGTTAATCTTTACCAGAATAAAGAAGATTATCGCAGTTTTTACCAGAATATAGAAGATTATCGTAGTTTTTTCCATAATATAGAAGATTATCGTAGTTTTCAACAGAATATAGATGTTAATCGTAGTTTTCACCAGAATATAGAAGATTATCGCAGTTTTTACCAGAATATAGAAGCTAATCGTGGTTTTATACGCCCACATTATAATGTTGTCGTATATTGTCGTCGCCCCTGTCAATCCGTCGGTCCGTCCGTCCACAATTGGCTGGTGAACGCAATAGAGACAACAGTTTTTATCTGATTTGAATGATCATTTGGTATGATCATTTATATTCATGAGATCTTGAACAAGTTCAAATTTGACGAACTTTCGATGAACGGTTTTAGAGTTATTGCCCTTGACTTTGGTTGTGAACACAATAGAGACTACAGTTTTCATCCAATTTCAATGAAATTTGTTGTGAATATTTATAATGATGAGATCCTGGACAAGTTCGAATTTAGCTATCTTTCGATGAACGGTTTTTGAGTTATTGCCCGTGATTTATGAAAAACGCGCCAAAATTTGTTTCTGAACACAATGGAGAGTACAGTTTTCATCTGATTTAAATGAAATTTGGTATGATCATTTATAATGATGAGATATTAGTCAAGATTAAATTTGACAATTTTTTGACCAACGGAATTTTAGTTATTGCCCATGACTTAGTAAATATGCATCAAAATTTGTTGGCGATAGGGTGACAGTTTATGTCAGAATTTTATTAAATAATGTGTTTGTTTAAATCAACAATATCTTGCACAACTTAGATTTTTGATATGATTTGACTGCCCTTGATATACTGAAAATGTATCAGGAAAGTGGGCGTATCCTGCTAGACAACTACTTGTTACCAGAATATAGAAGATTATGGTAGTTTTTATCAGAATATAGAAGATTATCGCAGTTATTACCAGAATATAGAAGTTAATCGTAGTTTTTACCAGACTATTGCAGTCAAGGTATAGGTACGAAGATAGTAATAACTTCCGTCACACTACCAAGGTCCATGTTTCACTGCCATGTCATTCAACCCAACCAAATCTGAAGATTTTCAACAATCAAACCACGGATACGAACTACATAGTCACATGTCATATCAGCTTTTGTTGGAAGCGTACTTTAACGTGTTGTTTCCAATACACGGGGGTACGTCATGAAAAGGCCTTTTGAAGTGCAATTTTGTATGAATATACAAAGTCACACATTACGGTTAAATATTATGTGCATAATCTCTTGTCGCATTATCAACTACATGTGACAGACAGTTCCCTTACATCACAAAATTTTTCATGTATGAAGACCAATATAGACGGCTTAAAGGATTGCTATTTTAAATCTTCATTTTGATAGGGATATTCAATGTTGAAGCAGATTTTTGACATTTAAATTTGTCTTCGATATTTCAGATTTAGATATATCAAGACACTTGATAGAAGCAAGACTAAATGTCAACACTGCATTTCACGGAACTCATTTATGGTAGTAGGATAGAAATTTCCTTCTTGCGTTTAAGTAATTTCAAATAGCTGGTTTAAACCGGTGCAAAAACCAAAACTAATTAAGACCAATACTGTCGACGTAATTTGCCATTTCACAGGAGCATGTCTCTAATCATATTGAATGCATGTGGAATTGATATTGAGAATGATCTAATGGCATTTCTAAAAGACTTAACATCATAAGACAACTCAATATCATAGTAAAGGAATAATAATCACTTAACGAGTTTATGTTCTTGTTAGTTATTAGAAAACCTTACACAAATGAATGAAACTTTGTACCCTTGGGCTTTTAAATGGAAAGTCCATCACTACCGTAACCATAATGTCATCAGTAAATTATTTTCTAGTGAAGTTATCTCATCCTCGTCTCGTTAACAGGAAAATGAAAAAGATGATCGAATTCGCTAATATGGTTAGTTATACTACCGTCGTCTTATTTGAACTAACATACCTATTCCAGACACGTTGTCCATCCCTTCCGGTTAAATTATAAGCTTAATAAACAATTGGTCTCTTAATTGAGTTTATCAGTCGTTCAAATGGTGAAAGAATCTATTCAATTAAATCGGATGAGATACCTAACAGCCAATATACATAAAACTCGAGAGTAAAATGGTACGCGTCATATTTCTTGTTACACTTACAGTACAATTGCCTTTAATTATTTAAGCTAGCCAATCTTTCTCCCAAGAACAGATTAGGCCATTGCCTAAATCTTACCGATCATAACAAGGGTGATTATACCAACTGCCTGTGGAGATGTTTTCGATCGTGGTTCTGTTTGCCACTATATGATCTGTAAATCTTGAAGGTATAAACTTCTCAAGACACAGTAAGGTAATTTTTTGCTTGGGCACACAAACGGTTTTTTTGCAGACTATAGTCTTGTAAAGAGACTCACCGACCGGCAGTAGGCACACTAGGAGACAGAAAATCTTCAGTCGGTCGTTTCCTTATGTCGATATTCACGTGATAATCATACAATTGAAAATGCATCCAACTGGATGATGACGCTTTGTGGAGTCTCGTCACGTCGTTAGTGCCGTCACACGAAGAAAACAATCGCCAACAAGGAAAAAATCAGACAAATATCCACCTGGGTTGAATTTCAAAATTCTACCGGCAACTAGATAATAATGTCTTGGGAGCGCGGGCATACGTAACAATTTACTCAAAATCGCCTCGGCGACCAAAACTATTCGCTTTCGTGGGTGACCGCTTGAAACCTCGTATAACGATATATGACGCGGAATTACTTTCCGAGAAAAACGCAAAAAACTATTTGTACGCGTATTTTGTTAAAAACTTTTGGATTATTTTTTTTACCTCGTATAACAATTTGAAATCTCCGGCCTATTGAACCAAAAACTCGTATAATAATACAGTATACGAGGTTTTTCATTTTTATCCGCAGAAAAGGAACATTGAACGTCGTATAATAATATATTTTACGAGGTTTTAAATCTGACTGTATATATACGTGTTATTCAATTAGTGCTTTTTGAGTTATTTACAATCAAGCTAAGAATACGAGGATTTGACCACAAGATCCGCGTTTTTAGGAGCTTTCGAACGGTACCAAAAAGTCAAAATGACCAAATGTGGCGTATACGAGGTTTCAAGGCGTTATGAAGTTATTCACTATAGCCAAATTATGTATGGCATAGTGATCAAGGGGGTCGACCATGCAAAAAACTATTGAATTGACTGTCCATGTTCCAAAATGTTTCCTTATATTTTTATAAGTTTAATCTGATCCGTACTTTTTGTAATAACCATGCTTCCGGTCATGGCCTCCAGTGTTGTCATGAATTCAAATAGTAAATTTGTGAATTAGTGAATTAGATGCTCTGTAATTTAAACTAAGAAAAGAACCAACTGTATTATCAATCTGTTTTATTAACTCTATAGAATTGGCCAATTACCAGGGGCTTAGACCGGACGGCTTCATGCACCCTCACGATCCACAAAAATTTGAATTCTGACAGAAGTGAACCTGAACTTTGCTAACCACGGGATTGGAGAAATGCTGAAGAAATTTGGATGTTAATCTACTGTGTTTAATGACTGGTAAACTGTATGATATTTGCTAATCTGTATCCTGGTGAAATTTGAGAAAATTCAGTCAGAACTGGCACGTATTGTGTATTTGCTGTGAAACTGGTCACATTTACTGAACTTTTGTTTATCTGTCACATATCCTGTGAAATTTTGACTGATTGAATTTTTGAAAATTAAACATGCCACCAGAGGAACTGAAAACCTTGCTCTTAGAAGCCAAGAAGAAAAGAAGAAACTGAAAAGCTGCTATTACCAGACTAGGGAAAGTACTAGATAGACTGATTAATGAAAAAAGGGGAATAGAAGAAATCCAAGAAATAGTTTTGAAAATAGACACTGCATTTGATAATCTGGTGGAAACACATACTGTATATACTCAAATGATAGATGATGAGGATGAATTTGAAACTGCAGAAATTTGGTTGGATGATGTGCAAAACCAGGTCACAACATTAAAAATGTATTCCAAAGATTATGTTAAACACTTAGATGATGAGTTCCAAGCAAAAACCCAGAATGTTGAAATTCCCCAGAGCCCTGATCAAATAAACCTGTCACCCTCTTCATCCCCTAATGATAACTCATTACCTACTGATATCCAGAGTAATTCTGATGTAAATAATATTGTTGATCCTGACAACCACAGTATAGACGATAATCCGAGTAACTCTGCTGTCAATCCGAGTACTTCTGCTGATGATAATCCGAATCCAAGTACTTCTGCTGTTGTTAATCCGAGAGATTCTGCTGCTGCTAATCTGAGAAATTCTATTGCTGTTAATCCGAGAAATTCTACGCTGTCAATCCGAATAATTTTGATGCTGATAATCTGAGTACCGAGAATATGAATGGTCTTACTGCTTCAACTAGCCTGAATAGTAATTCTGTCAGTGGAAACCCTACACAATCTACCGATGTTTGTCAATTTAAAATGGAGAAACCGAAGATGCCAAAGTTTAGTGGAGATGTTCGTGAATATTATACTTTTAAGTCAGACTTTTTGCATATGGTTTCATCGAGATATAGTAAACGAGATGCTATAACTTTACTGCGTTCCTGTTTGGTAAATAAGCCATTAGAATTGATAAGTGGTATGGGTTCTGATTATGATGCTGCCTTTGAATATCTAGACTCAATGTATGGAGATCCAAGATTTATTGCTGATTGTATTACCCAAGATTTAACACGTTTCCGTCCACTAAGAGATGGTGAAGATGCACATTTTTGCGAATTAGTTCATGTTGTCCGAAGAAGTTATAACACACTTAAAGAAATAGGCAGACCTAATGATATGAACAATAATCACATCGTCGACCGAGAATTAACTAGTTCCATCTAACATTTCCTCTGTTCTGAGGAAATTGAGGTTCAAGTTTCAGAACTTCATAATTCTGTTAAAAATAAAGATTATCATTTGAGACTTTTTATGGTATTAATATGATTCAATACTGATTCCCATACCAAATTTCAAGTGCAGAATGTCACTGGAATATGAACAATTCATGAAGAGATTTTGCAGATACACCTTTGTGACTTTCAAATATGAATAATTTCAAAGCCATATTGGTGTATCTGCATGTTTAGATGGATATATTTGCATAATTGTTTAGGAAATGGGTAAAAGGCTTGGAATTTATCTGCCCAAATTTATTCAAGAAATAGAATCAGACATATAGGGGTTGTTATATAAGAGAAATAACTCATTCTGACCAATAATTGACCGTTTAAGATCACGAGAAAACAACACAGATAGTCAAACACATCAATTATTTTATTTTAAGAACTCTATCATAAATTAAAACATTTTGCATTTACCTTTGCAACTTTGTAACTATTCTGACATTCGGAAAATATAAAACATAACAGACTAAATAATATTAACAATAACTTTTCAACAATCTGAACTAAATACTGCAATAAGGCCTAACATTGTAAAGACATGTAGGCTCTATCAGAGGGGGGCATGAATTTTAACATCGCTTTAATGTCTTGAATTTTGACTTGTGTGAGGGGCTTGGATTTTGCAGATTTTGGTTCACCAAGGTGTATGGAAGTTATCCCACTAAGAGACCATTGTTGCTCAAAAACGTTCTCAGTAATCCACTTTTGGATCGTAGTCTTTATCTTGGTCACTATCATCCCCATAACAACTAGATTCATCAGATGAATTCATGAAAAGTATTTTTAACATCTCTTAGGTATAGTGGGCAAGTTATAAATTGAAAATTATGTGATTGCGACTACATTGTATATTAATACATTTTACAGCTATCAAGACCATTTAAGAGCTAAATT